GGAAAAAAACATAACATCTGAAGAGTAATGAGATTAATTATCAGAAAACACTGCACTAGTGGTAGTGTGTAAATCAAAGTCTTCCAGCAAAGGGAAGAGATACTCTGTCACAAAAATTTCCTTTGGTTTAAAACGCCTACTATGCAGTATATAGCTACTCTAAAACATTAAAATAGGACACATGTTTTATAGAAAAATATTACAGCTGTGTCGGCAACATGTCAAAATAGAAACCATATGGAAATATTTTTAGTACAAGACTAAATTTAAAACAAAGAAGCCAATTTCAGAGAGTACTGAGAGTGAACATTTCCATTTTCAAACTTCTTTTTTTTTATTTCTTTTGCACGTATGACTTTGAGTTGCTTCAGTACTCTAAAACAATCCATTTCATTGACTGTACCGAACTCAATTTCCTGAAGTCTACTAGGGTTGTATATATTTGAGTTTATATTTTTACTAGTGACTCAACTAGAGCCTGTCTTGGTTCAAATTCTTCTGCAAGTCTATGACATTCACATGAAGTTAATCCGGAGAGGAATATTTAAATTTTATATATCCTTTCATAGGTGCACATGTCTAAAATAGACATGCTTTCACATCTGAAAAAATGACTCAGTAACTGAAATTTGAGACTTTTTTTGTGTTACTCTCAAAAAGTCGATAGTGGAAGACATAAAGTATAATCTATAAGCAGCTGCCTGGCAAGCACAAGGTCCTGAGTTCAATTCCTGGTACCAAAACATAATCATCATCATCATCATCTACTTGTTAAAAAATCACACTTCCTAGAAGAACAAATAATAAGTATCTTTTCTTTCTCTCTGGTTTGTTTTCCTTTGTCTTGAGTCAGGGTGTTGTTATCTTCCCCAGGCTGTTCTCAAACTCCTGGGCTTGAACGGTCATCCTGCAAGACTCCTGAGAAACTAGAACTACGAGCAAGTGTTACCAGGCCTGGCCCCTCTCCATTCATTAATAACATAATGTGTTCCACCAGCTAAGAATTTTGCAACTCAGTGAGAGTTCTCCACACTAGCGGTCACCTAGAGAAGTCACTCATTTGATTTCTCTAAGAATTATTTTTCCCGGGGGCTGGGGATTTAGCTCAGCGGCAAAAGCGCCTGCCTGGCATGCGCAAGGTCGTGAGTTCAGTTTCCGGTACCGGAGAAAAACCAAAAAAAAAAAAAAAAAGAATTATTTTTCCGTCCTACATTTAGGTAGAAATTAGGGTTTTGAACACTGTGATATATACTACATATCATACTGTCTTAGAAATAATATGATTAAAAACCAAAAATAGCCACAATAATCCAGCAAAACCCTGGAAAATCCAGAAGGAATGCTAAATGAATTCCATTGTTCAGCATAATTATCTTAAAATGAAGAAGAAGTAAAGGATGAGATCTATAAAATATAGAAACCAAGGAATTACTAGCTTATATTACAAAGCAGGAAAATAATTCAAAATTTAATTACATAAAGTAATAATGCAAAAATTTCTATATTCTCAAAAGAAAATGAAATTATTAGAAATAAACAATGTAGCATAAAAATACTAATAGCATAATTTTATAGCTGGGAATGTTTGCTATCTTTCAAGCATGTTAAAAATAATATTTGAAAACCCCAAGTGACCACAGGTTAAATATGAGTCAGCAATGGGTCATCATTATGTGGAATGACAATTATATTATTGGCATATATGTGACTTACAAAATACTTAACAAAACAAAATATATGGATATATATACATATGTATATATATATAAAGAGAGAGAGAGAGAATATTTTATACTATTATATACCTATACATGTTAGCATGTATTATATACTTTGTGGGAATATATAAAATATTGGTAGTATACAAAAAAGAATTGGCTACATAACTGCCTTAGATGTCATTCCAATGAAAATTTTTTATTTAAAGTCCTTGGAATCACCTAATAATCTACAGCATTGTTGTTTGGATTAGAGTTCAAATATATATTTTGAAAGTTCTGAAAAATGTTATACTGTCTTTAAAAGCCTTGAGCAAGTCATCCAAACCAAGAACACCAGCACAGGGAATTTTCTGGATTATGTAATGGCATTATTTTCAATAAAGATTGAAATAACCTCTTCCGTTCTGATCTTGGATACTGTAACTGAAAGTGGGATAAAAGATTATTCAGACATCTTTAGTCTCAGTCCTGGTCATTAAAATATGGCTACTGACGTAATCATTTGGATTCATTTGGGTTTTAAATTGTGCTGTTTTTCTATTCTGAATATCCTTACACATGTAATATCTGAATGGTCAAAAACTGTTTGCACTTAATTTTCTTAAACATCTTCAGGAATATCATCCCTGTAACCTCCTAACGTGACTCACATACATTTTGATCACAGTGATGATAGAAAAGGCTTACTGAAGTGTTCCTTCTTTAATTTTGTATTTGGAGTAAAACAACTTTCACGTATTTCACTATAATTAAATTAACCCACCCTCACGTGAATGTTTCTTCTGGTTAAATATGCATATGCATTTGTACATATATATATATAAGTATTATAAAATTGTAGATATATGTTTGTTACTAAATTCGCCTTTTCTATGAATTTTATAATTATGAAGCTTTTTTAAAATACATAGCTCTTTTAATAAATATGAATTGTGAAAAATATTTTCTTGGATCATGTAGTTTAATTGTCATACATTTGAAAAATAAACATAATCAACACACATGTATAAATATATTGTACCTATATACTATATATACACTCTAACCTCCATGTATAGTCTTTCTATATGCTTATATACATACACACATATACACACAGAAATTATATATATATATAAAAGTCCTTTCATTCAACTTTAAATGAGCCTAAGCTTTTCAAATATGAGGGTAAATGTTTGTCTATAAGTAGTTAAAGAAAAAATAAAAAGTCATTCTCACTGTATAAAAGTGTTAAAAACCTATTTGAACTTGGTAAAGATGTTCAATACAGTAATGTTGGGTATCTTTAAAATTTCTTGTTATGGTGATGACATCACACGGCATTATATACTTTTATTAATATTAGTCATCATGTGTGAGTTCTCAATCCAAATGTTTATCCTGATTAACACAAAATAGTCATTTACCAAGGCAGAGTCTGACTAGTTATAGTTACTTTAAAAATTAATCCTTACAATATAGTGACTAAATAGGACAAATATCGTAGTTGTTTATAACTGCAGTACTTTGAAGGGCCTACATATTTTAGCATTGGGTTTAGGTCCATCCTAAAACACATTTGCCTGTGCTCTAAGCTTTCATGAGAGTTAACAAGCTTGAAATCAACAGAAGCTATGAAACTATTTTACCAAACTGCATTAACCGCAGGGTTTCAGAGAGATAAATCAAAAGAGATATAAAATAGATACTTAAACAGCAGGTCTCTGGGGAGTTTGGTTTGCTTTCATTTCATATAAATCTTCCTTATCAGTATTCACATGTCCTATTCTACTTCAGAGTACTTTACGTTGAGATAGAATATTGCATACATTAATGTATTAGTTTCAATAGTTCCATAAATAAAATTGCCTTTTAGGCACACCAAGTGTACAAATTTCCATCTCATTTGAAGTGATAGGTGACACTAGAGCTACTTTTACATACTTGGCAGTGCTGTAGAACTCAATCCCTTGACTTTAAGGGAGGACTATGCAAATATATGAGTAGGAATGTGGTAAGATGGGTTCTTTCTGGAAAACCCAAAAGCAGTCCAGTCAAAACTACCTAAAACACAGCAACCAAAATAAAGCAAGTCATGTGCTTTGACAGTGGTCAGAAGTTTAATCCTGTTGCTCTTTGGCCTGTAACATCTAGTGAAGTAGTTTGTATCTAAATGACTATCGAATAAAAGTGAATAACAGGAAACAAAGAAGAAGAGTATTGATAAATTACTTAAAGCATCTGCAATTTTTATGTTTAAAGATATCTGAGCCAGGTGTAGTGGTGCCTGTCTCCTGACCTGATACTCAAGAGGCTTAGACAGCAAGTTTGTTGAGCCCAGAAGCAGGCCGCCAGCCTGAGCAACACAGTGAGACCTTGTCTGAAAGAAAAAAATATCTAGGAGCCTATATTAATTTATTGTTGTTAACTTTATATAATTCTAGCTGAATCCCAACATACTGAAAAATCCATTTTTTCAACCTTGTTCCTATTTCCTGTTTTGCTTTTGGTATCGAATTGAAAAAATATACTCCCGACAATGCATCCCCTTATTATGGTACAAGAGTAGTATGGGCCACTTTTTCTACCATAATGTCTGTGCATTCCTTAAAGATAGCGATCAGATCTTAATGATTTTTCTATGTACAGTATCTAGCACCGAATATACTTTCAATAAAAATACAAAATCATTTCATCTATTTTAAACACAACTGTAAGTCTTACTGAATTTGGACTTGTATCCATTTGACTCTTTTAAGATAAACATTTTTTACTATAGTTTTTCACTTAAGCTTATGCTTAAAAAGAGAAATGCTGACTTAATTCATAGAAATCACATCTGTGACTTAAGGTGTGTTATTTCAGCCAACTTTCTATCGTACTGTTAGGCCCCTTAGATACAGATGGGACTTGATTGCTGCTTAAAAACATACAACACGTACACTTCTGTGATTCTGCCCCCTAGCCATTTAGCACTTCTGTCATAGTTTTTGCTATTCTAAACTTGTCAGTTTTACCGTGGGTTCTTACTACCCTTTAGTACCAAAAATGGAGATCGGCAGTTTGTTCATGAGCAGACAAAAATAAGAGCAGAGTTCTACAATTCTGTTTTTCAAGAAAGAAGATGAGTTAAAATAGTAAATACGCAAACAAATCTAATGATTGGGAGTAGGGTAACTGTTTTGTAATATGGAATCATATGGCTCAGAGGTTAGCCTGAAGCTCCTTTTCGTCTGGGGAAAATGTTTAGTAGTGTGTTGTACTGTGCCAAGGACAGACTGGTCCTTTCCAGTCACTTACCCTCTGACAGCATGGATAAGTCTCAGTGACGGATAGGCAGTTCGCACTTTCAGTTTATTCTTAAGGATTAACGCATTCACCCATTCCACGTGCTTCTCTCCTCCTTTGACCATGAAAGCGGGGATCCAAAGGACACTGTCATTCAGCATGGAAAGTCTATGTACAAATTTTTCTCTGTCACTCTCATTCCGAAAGCCTCCAAATGCTCTTTGCACAACTGATGGATTCATGGTTATAAAATCTGATTTAGTTCCCACATCTGCAGCAAACTCCACCACAGGAGCTAGGTTACACCTGAAGAGGAAAAACATGAATGGACAGATGAAAAATAAATATGAAACATTCACTCATAAATGGTGCATATGGAAAGGAAGAATGAAGAACAAGTATGTTTTTCACCTGGTGAAAAAAAAAAGGATAAGGACAATCTGCCTGGTGCACTATACTTTCACAAAGTCGCTCTACGTTAAGGAATATTGATTTCAGTAAGATATGCATCACCAGTACGGGGTTCATTTTTTCACTTACATTCAGCCTGTTGTTTAAGAATATTCTTAACAATTATCTTCATAAGACCACATGATGTGAATTCATATTAAGCTAACTGACAATAGTAAATTCACAAGGGATCTGCTGTCACGATACGCGGTCTGAACAATATGCTATTCTATAACTGAAACATATTGGACTTAATATTCTAATCTGCGCTGCTAGGCACATTCAAGACCTTTCAACAGCTTTACACACATACCTGAATAAATTTGATTTTTGTACATTCTAAGGTTAAAGGGACAGTACAATATCTTTTTTTTTTTAGTACAATATCTTATAGCATTTTCTACAAACATATTTACAATTGCTTTCTGTGGAACTAAATAATAAAGTAAGAAAAAATGAAAGTATTCTAATTAATATGACTTTTTGAGATTTATAAGTAATGTGAAAAAGCCTTTAGCCTCGGATCACATGTCAGCCATCCTAGTCCTTTTGACATTCTGAAAGTACCTGCTCTCTTTGTTAAGCCGTATGCACCTCTAAGGAACACATACATAAAGAGAAAATAGGATTTGTGATTGTAATCTCACCACTAGAACCATAGGGCCTTGAAAAGAACTTGGACTTGATTTTACTTTTGTAACCTGATTCCAATCTTCTTACAAGACAACGTTGGAAAGTACCTTGAAATCTTTATTAATTTGTGGTGCTTTGATTTCATAACATTGACCACTGGATACTTAGCTTGAAAATAGCTTTTCAAAAACCGCTATTTTTAACTTGTAAAAAGGCATATTTTAATCAGGCCATACATGAAAATTAGATTTTTAACAAATAAGCATCCCTATCTTGGAAGAACTCATTCTAGAATATTCAATCTCTACCTTCATGACAGCACACACACACACACACCACATATACATACACAATAAAAAATAGAACTTCTGCTTCTTCTTTCTTTTATCAGCCTATCTAGGGAAACAAACTTGAATAGGTTTATTATTTCAGCAGTTTCACAAGTTTGATTTCACTATGAAATTTCCTCACATCTCTCTTGGGTGTACATTGTGCCATCTTAAATAAATTCTCAAACAGCTTAAATTTTAATTTAAAAATGTGTCCTACTATTAAGAATACTGCCTTGTTTATCCTTCTTTATCTCTCTTAATTAGTACATCTTATTACTTCCTCGATCTCTTGAAACATTTAGCTATAATTAAGCTCTTTCATCTCATGCTGTTAAGCAAATTCTGTGTTATCTAGGGTGAGCTACTGAAAGAGACAACGTGTTATAGATTAAACATTACTATCTTTCCAATTGCTGTGTATACATATATTCTTTATCATATAATAATTATTCACTTCTACCCTAGATTTAAGACAATAACGAATATTTTTAATTTCCTCATGATGATATCAGAAATAGGGCTGCTCCAAAAACCGTTGCTACATATGCACTGATACTAAAGCAGACACTCTACTGGGAGATTAATGGGAAATTGAGAATTTGACAATTATTAAGCTCATAAAATCTATATCACAAAATTATTAAAGATATCCAAAATCCGAATCAAGTGGATGATACCATGAATTTGGGTACTGTGGGGAAAGGTGTTTCCTGAATATTATTATTATAGACATATTTCTTTCTTCATGTAAAATGCACAAGATTCTTGTTATCATTACAATTGACATGTCCCTGCCAGGGGAGATAGTATCTTACATATATTTCTGACATAACAAATCCTCACAAACTCCTTTCAGAGGACTGTCACTGTAAAAAAATTCTTTGTCTTCATAGCATAAAAATAATCAGAAACAAAGCAGCTGAAGGCAGTAAAAATGTATCTTCTGCTGAATTGTTTTCTTTTTAGGAAAAACATTACTTAATTATTTTATACTTTTACTTACATTTTCTTGCCACGTATTTAGATGTCCTACCGCCAGTCTACGTTTGACACATAATTACCTACAATTATCTGGGCGAGCCTTTTCTAGGAGGCACTAAGATGTTCATTAACTGAATCCAGTGTTGAGGTTGAGAACGTTCCACTGGGAATCAGAAAGAAGCTTCTAGTATATTTCGGGAGAACAGGGTTGATCCAGGAGGCAGACTAACCATGCAATTAAAGAATGTTGAACAAATATGAGAGAAACTGGATGTCAAAGAGAAATAAATTCACATGTAAAGTTTTTTTTTTTTTTTTTGGTTTTTCTCCGGTACCGGGAACCGAACTTATGACCTTGCGCTTGCCAGGCAGGCGCTTTGCCGCTGAGCTAAATCCCCAGCCCCTCACATGTAAAGTTTTGTGAATTCAAGCATAGCTCAATCAGATCTCTTGGCAGAATGGTAGCTAAAGCACTGAAAATAACAAGACAGAGAGAGAATCATGAAATACAGCCTGTGCTGGGTCTAGGATTCCAGTTTGTCATTTTCTTGAGGGGTGATAGGGGTATTTTTTCACTGGAAAGAAAGACTAATAACATGTCCCCATGTGGCCAATGAGTTACTCTGTGGTTAAGTCTGATAGTTAGTCATCTAATTAACTGAATGTCACTTAAGCAAGCCAGAATAACCAACCAGCTGTGTTGCGCTTCCGAAGTTCAGTAAATTTATGAACTCGAGAGCAATGCTGACAGCAATACCGCTGATTGAGCAAGAATATAAATGCATTCTCAATCACAAAATTTGCATCTTTCTTTCAAAAAATCTTCTCAGAGGTTATAATATTCAAAAGTAACAAGAATGTGTCTCAAGCATTTATGAAGCGATACTTGATTACTCATATTATTCTTAACCTCACAAAATAGAAGAGTGGGCAAGTTGTAAATGACAGATCCTTTGAAAGCCAAAAGTGCTGAATCCAGAGGACTCAAGCTCTATTATTTTTACTCAAATTAATTTTTATACTGCTGAACTGTTTTTTGACAAACCAAAAACATGAAAACATACACACCCAGTTAGATGTGGTACCCAAAGTTCCTATGTACTCTAAACTGCTCAGATATCAATTCACGTTGATTCTCCATTGTTGATTTAACACCTGCAGCAATGCACCCTAGACCTCTGAATTTTCTTCTGTGATCTCATACTGCATGTTATGAATTTTCAATTTTCTTTATAGTCTTAACCAAAGGTATTTTCATTTATTTCAAGGGTGTATAAAATACTAATTTAAAAACTCATAGAAAAGTCATTCCTACTATGTGTACGAATGCTGTAGGATCACAGAATTCCGTATCAAGGATTATCGCTCGGATTCGTCAACATTCTCTGCATTTCTCTTGTCTATCCTCAATCTAAGTCAGTAGTTTTCTCCTTTATTTACTCAACAGGCCACTGTTGTCAGCTCATAAAGCAACCACAATGTCTAGTGCTCAGACTGCTTTTGCTAGCTATTTAATTATCCATGGTATCTTACAGTACATGATCTATCCCCTATATAATATTGACAGACTTTACTAATTATATCAATAAAACCAGGCTTACTCTTTTAGCTATCTATTTCTTGATTCCATGGTGTACTTTGTATTTTTGTGCTGAGTATAGAATTATCCTTCTAAGTTACTGAGGTAAAACAATGATCTGTAGTAGTTGGAGGTTGTCACATTTTACAGATAGAGCAGAAATTAAGCTAAATGAAAATGACCTTGAATATCAACCACTCCTCCAACTTTGGTTACTATCAAATTTCCAGACACGTCATCACCATACTTTTACTTCTTTGCCCAATTCCACTGTGTCTTCCCTGTACTAACACTGGAATAACTCATACCCATTATCACAAGAGGGACATTTCCCAGTCCAGTGGGATATAAGAGAGTCTCTTCTACGTTCTGCTCCCAGATGAAGTTTATTGATTTTGTCTCCACCCTTCTTGTGTCTCAGCTTGAAGAACCAAGGAAAAGAATCTCTTAGCTGTCTCTTTTTGCTTGTTTTTGGCTTTGTGATTACCTCTCAGAATTGCTAGGGGAACTGGAATATGCAAACTGTTAACTTCTGACTTTTCTTATATGAAGATAATAGACTCCAAGTGCACTGGAAATCAAACATTTTTGCTTAAGGTCAGGAATAGTTTTACTTCCACTTTTAGATGAAGAACTGGTGTCTAGATGATTAGGAGGTATACCCAAAGGCATACAGTTTATAAAAGAAAGGCACAGTCTAGTTTAGAATGACTTCAGGATGGGAGTTTTAATTGGCACTGTTTATACATATGATTTATTTCAGAATTTTGGGAAAATATCTTTATGCTCATCTTTCACACCAATCTTCATGTAGAAGAAAGGGCACTTTATCAATTACCCATAGATTTTAACCGCAGGCATATTTTACAAGGCCAAGGCCATGCAGCTATGATTTTCACGAAGTTCTAAGAAGGTAGAAAACAAAGGGGTTTAAATAGCTGCAATTTTTAGCACAGTATCTATATCCCAGATCCTAACATCTATATGTCAGATCTACTGAGGGATAGGAGTTCCAAAATATTATTAAGAATATTAAGCAAGTATTTGAGAAGACATTTTGATGTTGGAAGCATAGAGGTAGAAACAAATTTAGCTATGGTAGGCCATTATGTAGTAGACAAAGTATAAAAACTAAAGATGAAAAATCATGTAGGAGATTTGCATTTTCAGTATACATAAAATACAAACACATAATGTACACATAAAGTACAAACACACAGCCTGTATGTTTGCTTGCTGTTAAAATAATAATGTATAGAGTCCTTAACTTGATATAAATAAATATAAACAGTTCACAGTGATTTGATTAAGTAGAAGAGAAAATTTTTTCC